CTTCTCTCCACCACCACCCCCAGCCATCTATCCATCTTGATCTTTGTATAGCCTTCTTTTTTTTTATCTTTTTAAAAAATTTTATTCATTTATTTGACAGAGAGAGACACAGCGAGAGAGGGAACACAAGCAGGGGGAGTGGGAGAGGGAGAAGCAGACTCTCCGATGAGCAGGGAGCCCGATACGGGGCTCGATCCCAGGACCCCGGGATCATGACCCGAGCCGAAGGCAGACGCTTCACCAATTGAGCCACCCAGGCATCCCATGTCCCTCTTGTTTTTTATTCCCTCTTCTGCCCCAATCCCCCTCAGACCCTACCTGGCACTAACCAAATATTAATATTTCAAAGAGCTGATTCCCTCCTTCCTGCAATGTGAGAGGAACAGGGAAGGCTGTCAACAAACCAAGCACCAAAGTCGTTAAAACTTCAACAGAGGGAATGGGTGTCTACCTCTCCCAAGGAAGTGAGGGAATAAGTGCAGAAGTGCAGGGTCCACTTGTCAGTAGCACTGAAGGCAAGATCCACTGCCCTGCCCTGGCCTCCTGTGTGCCCAGCTCACTCCTATCTGGCTCCATTGCACCGCTGAATTCTAGCACCTTCCATGCTCAACTCCTGACTGCCCCCTGGCTCCACCTTGGCTCCACCCCAGCCCATCCCTGCCTGTCTGCTCCAGCTCTGGTTGGCTCCAGGGGACACATGGAGGCCCCAGAGAATTGGGTGGTGGGGTGGGGAGCGAGCACAGACTGGACAAAGTAGAGCTGGGGGGAGCCTGATGGCCAAACCTAGTCTTGGAGTAGGCAGGCTGTGGGGCAGTGCCAGGGAGATCCAAAAGGTGGCCAGAACTAGGGAACACAAATTAGGCAGCGGGACCCGGCAGGCAAGAGGCAGTGCAAGGGGCTGCCGGTAGAGAGAAGTTGCTCTCCCTAGAACCCAGGGAAAGTTGGAATTGGCCAGCTACGGGCGGTCCATAGCGCCATCTGTCGGTGGTTTCCAGAACTGCCGGCTTTCTCGGACAGGTAACTCACTCTTTTCTTTCTTTCTTTCTTTCTTTTTTTTTATTTTTTTAAGATTTTATTTATTTATCTGACAGAGAGCGAGATAGCGAGAGCAGGAACACAAGCAGGGGGAGTGGGAGAGGGAGAAGCAGGCTTC